AAGGGAAGGAAATGAGACACAGACCCCCACAGAGGGCAGATCACACAAGGACAGTCAGAAGCCATCCATCTACAAGCCAGGGAGAGAGGCCTCAGAAGGAAGACCCCTGCTGACGTCTTGACTTTGCATTTCCAGCCCCTGGAATCATGAGAAAATACATTTCCGTTGTTTATGCCACCCAGGCTGTAGCACTTCGTGACGGCAGCCCGAGCAAACTAACAGTCACACAACAAAGATCTTGGACAGTTCTGGGTGAAATTTGGGTGTTTTACCTTTTCATTTTTGGCATGCCTTTCAGGCGGCACCTGGGTGGCTCAGTAGGTTAAGCGTCTGACTCCTGATTTCAGGTCATGACTCCACGGTTTGGGAGTTCAAGCCCCACATCAGGCTCTGTGTGGACAGTGCAGAGCCTGCTTGGGATTCTGTCTTCCTCTCTCTGCCCCTTCCCTGCTCATGCTCTCACTCTCAAAAAGAAATAAACATTTTAAGTTTTTATTTATGTATTTGAGAGACAGTGCAAATGGGAGGGGCAGGGAGAGAGCAGAGAGAGCGCCAAAGAATCAGAAGCAGGCTCCAGGCTCTGAGCTGTCAGCACAGAGCCCGATGAGGGGCTCAAACCCTCGAACCCCGACATCATGACCTCAGTCGAAGTCAGATATTTAACCGATGGAGACACCCAGATCTCCCCAAAAATAAACATTTTTTTAAAAAAGAATGACTTTTAAATATCTGCGGCAATATCTTTTAATTTTTAAATGATTTTTACTCGGCATTTATTTTTAATAGTTTTAATGTCCTTCAATGTTTTCTATTATCAAATGTTTCTGTCAGGTGGAGTGGATTTTAAACATAATTGAAATATATAATCTTCTCACAGTATGTTGGTTCACAGTGGTAATAACCCATGCATTTACTATACTTAAAAAACAGGACATCTCTCTGTAACTGATTATAAACCCATCACAAGGCAGTGACACACGGTTTATTATTATGGCCACCCATTACTGTTTTAAAACACACAATGTCATGGGGCGCCTGGGTGGCTCAGCTGGTTAAGCGGCCGACTTCGGCTCAGGTCATGATCTCGCGGTCAGTGAGTTCGAGCCCCGCGTTGGGCTCTGTGCTGACAGCTCAGAGCCTGGAGCCTGTTTCGGATTCTGTGTCTCCCTCTCTCTGACCCTCCCCCATTCATGCTCTGTCTCTCTCTGTCTCAAAAATAAATAAACGTTAAAAAAAAAAAAATTAAAAAAAAAACACACACACAATGTCTTTAAATACACAGACTAACTTGTAATTTAGGAAGTCTTGAGTATACCCAAGAATCTTTCTTTCTTATTTCCATATATTAAATATTAATATCTGGGGCAACTTAGAAACACTATTCTCTGGCATTTTTATTCATTTTGTAAACAGGAAAACCCACACGTGTCCTTAAAAGGCAGTTCTCGCTCTAGTATCCTATGTTCCTGTAACCCATGCGGAGACGGGAAACGAAGCAAACCCCTGCCAGCAGGTAAAGAGAAGTCAGGTAGGGGGCAAGCAGCTGGGGGCAAGCGGCTGAGAACACGCGGACACACCCAGTGGTGGATGAAGTTTCGCATTTCCCTGCCAGTGGCTGGGGCTTCTCACCTGGATCAGGAGCTACCTTTTCCTCTCCCTCTGCCCCAGGGCCAAGCCTCCCCTCCATCAGCCCGGTTTGGTTTCCTCTACAATACAGATGGCCTGTGAACGAGGGGACATCAGCCCCCGCGGCCCGCTCTCAGCAGGCGGATGCACATGGTCTGAGCGACACAAAGTCCAGAATCTGCTGCTTTCTGTGTCTGCCCTCAATTTCTGGAAACTGTCCCTGGAGTGGCTCCTGCTTACCTCGCATGGTCCATCCTGCTCCTCTGAACCCAGGGCCTGGGACCTCTGGGACAAATCCTCGCCAGCAGTCATGTCTCCTCTGGGCTTCACTTCTCGGTCTCTCTTGTGGGCAAGTCCTTTCTTCCCGGGAGCCCAAAGCTGGGTGGGCATCTGGAGGCTTCAGTCAGAGCTGCGGGGGAGAGTCTGGCTGGGCTTCTAAGGAGACCAGCAGCGTCACTGGTGTGGTCTGATCCGGGGGCTCTGCAGAGCCACCGGGAAGTCCTGGAGAGGGAACACCCACACAGTCATTCATCGAACATTTGCTCCATGCAAGTATTTTCGAGAGTCCTTCGGGGAAGGCCACTGTGCTAGACATAATTTTTTTTTTAATGTTTATTTATTTATTTTGAGAAAGAGAGGGAAACAGAATCCCAAGCAGGCTCCAAGCTGTCAGCACAGAGCCTGATGCGGGGCTCGATCCCACGACCCTGGGATCATGACCTGAGCCACGCTTAACTGACTGAGCCACCCAGGTGCCCCTATGCTAGATACTATTGATGTGGGATCATAAGGCAAGCTAACATCCGCAACCCCCACCCCCACCAGGTGGGATACATGTGATATCCCTCAGGCACTCGTGGCTGCCCAAGAACAAAGGAAAAGGGAAAACGAATGGTTAACTGACCTGGTTAACTGACCGAGGTCACAGTCAAGCAGGACAGGAATCCCGTGGGTTTACATAAGTCTTGGTAAATTACAAGAAAAAGACAATCTTATCAATAGCCTAACCTCCAGAAACCCAGACTCAGTCTCCTGGAGCCTTAACATCACCCTCCCCTGCATAAGGATGTGGGGAACAAAGGCAAGAAGGAAACGGTAAATAAGATTAAATTTCCTTATAACCTGCAGTGCATGGAGGCCAGAGTGAAACATTCCTCCCAGAACTCCCTACAGTCTTAATGTTAATGCTTTGCTAGAGAAAAAACAACTTTAGCTTAACAACAGCTAGGCTTCTAGGATCTTATGAGTCTTCTTTTATTTAGCACATGAAAATCGTTTTTGGAAACCTCCCTTTTGCCTTTCCCTCCCCCAACTCCATAGTATATAACCAGTCACCTGTCACAGCCCCAGTGAGGCTCTTTCTGCCCACGGGTCCTGTTCCCATGCTTTAATAAAATCACCATTGTGTATCAAAGACATCTGTCTCAAGATTTTTTTTTTAATGTTTATTTTTGAGAGAGAGAGAGAACACGTGCGTGCGTGCACCAGCGGGGGAGGGGCAGAGAGAGAGAAAGAGGGAGACACAGAATCCGCAGCAGGCTGCAGGCTCTGAGCTGTCAGCACTGAGCCCAACGCGGGGTTCGAATCCAGAAACCGCGAGACCATGACCTGAGCCGAAGTCAGACGCTCAACCAAATGAGCCA